ACTAACTGGCTAGAATGGTGAGAAGCAGCAGTCCAAATAAGGGTGAGGGGAAAGTGCGAAAGATACATTACAATCGGTGAAAGTGCCAAGTATGATCCATGGAGCTCAGAGGTTGCAGAGCTCACAGAGGTTATGGAGGCAGGGTTGAAAGTCTGAGGAATGTTGGCAATGGTGTTTACATAGTATGAGGTCACCAATGCAATGGACTAAAGCTGAGGTGGAGTCAAAGTCCAAGGTCGGAACTATGACGGAATCTCAGAGCGAAGGTACGAGCGGTGCCCAAGTACAGGGTATGGGACAGCAGCGGATGGTTGTAACTTGCCAGAGGTTTGGCAGAAGAGGGTTGGAGGAAGGAGAGTGATGAGAGGAGTGGGGAGAGGAGTGGAGGAGGAATGGTGTCAGGTCCAAAGGTGAGTATCACAACAGACGGAAGTAGGGTAGGAGGGTGATGGAAGGGTGGAGGTGTCGTGAGGAGTAAGGGGAGGAGTAAGAGGAGGAGGGTGGCAAGAGGGATGTCAGGTCTGAAGGTGAGTATCAGAACAGATGGAAGTAGGGTAGGACTACAGAGGTGATGGAGATGGGGGTCCGGGAGTCGGATCGGGATCGGGTATGTATGGATATGACACCTTCAGCATCTCTGCATGCTCCATTGTATTTGTGCCTTCAATGGGTGCAATTATCGCAGGCATCATCTGACACCCCTGAGTTGTCAGACTGTGCCCATTTGGATGGCCTGGACAAGGAGCTGCTGTCGCTCCCTCGTCTCCCTCCTATGAGGGACTTCATCTCTTTCAACTCCTGATGGAGTTGACCCATATGGGCAGCTACCACTGATGCAATAGCTGATTCCCAGCCTATATTTGGCTGGGGTGTTGTCAGACCTGGGCCAAATTGGCCAATCCAGGGAGTGATTTGGCCAGGTGTCATATCCACCCACAGCCATCATCCTCATCCACCTCCAATCCTCCAGATCCCCTCTGCTCCTTCGTCACTAGCCTCGGAGCCTCTGGATTCGGCAATCACCTCTGACTCCCTCGATAGTCCAATTCAATATATTACCTACACCTCCCTAAGTACAGAACCCTGAAGGCCCCTGGACAGCTCTGACGTCTGCTAGCACACTCCCACCCCTGCTGGGCAATTCACTTGCTTGCCCTGCAAGTCTACCTTCGGGCCTGTCCCTCTCTTCCATTTATGGGTTATAGCCCACCATTCCACTAACCCTGTAACCTGACTCGTCGGTAATATTCAGTCAGTGTCAGGGTTCAGCACCCTGCCTTAGGGTGCCCCGGACTCCCCACCTACTTTACCCCCTTTTATTCTTTGACTGTTGCCTTGTTGTTGCCTTTGTGTGTTGTGTACACGCACGCACATGGGATAGCGTGGGAACTTTCTGAGCAAGCAGCTCGCCCAGAATGTTCCCACGGGTCACAGCCACAGTTCTGGGCGAGCAACTCGCCCAGAATGTTCCCATGCTTACTGGGCACTGCCACCTGGATGTTCCCTCTGGGTCACACTACACAACTCTAGGAGCTGTATAGTTGTGGGCATGTGACCCATTCCTTTATATAGCAACCATGTGGGGAGATGAGACCTTTACCCTTCTTCTCATCTCATGCCCCGCATAGGCAAGTGTATATATTCCCTTTCTTTTACTATACATCTCATGCCCCGCATAGTGTGAGGACAGGCCAGATGGGGGTTGAGGTCAGGGAGCCTCCGAGTCCGAGGCCGGGCCCTGACAGTCAGCTAATGTTTAACTGCATTAGCTCTGCCCCGCTCAGTCCCACCATTCATGGGCCGGCCCTCACTATACACAACTTGTAGATAGGTTACACCCTAGTGATAAAATCGACTAGAGTTGATCCCCCTTTTTAGTTCTCGCTGCCAGTAAGTAAATTAGGGCATGGACATGTAACTAGGCACAGCGCTCCTGGTCTGAATCACTGAGGCCAAAGCCCTCCACCACAGAGACATCTCCTTCGTCTCGCTTCCTGTCTCTAACACCAGGGAAGTTCCCTGGGGAGTATGCCTGGGGCTGCAGCAGCAATTGCTGCCCCTGGAATGGTGCTTGTTGCACCATCGGTGCAGTTTGCACCACGTATGGTTGAAAGCCCCTTTGGGGAGGCTGGGGGTATGCAGTGCCTATTGGCATTGTGGAAGGATGTTTGTTCACAGCACTCATTTGTGCCACATGCGTCATATAGTCTGTGGTGCTTATCTGTGCCTGGTGTTGTTGTTCTGAGGAGCCTTGCTCCTCGGGTTGTTGTATCTCGATATCCAGCAGCTTGTTTGGATCGTATCGAGGGTTGCCTCCCCCAGAGAACAACATTTCATCATTTTGTTTCTCATGGTGGTGGGAGGGGTTTAGGTTCTTGTGTGCATGGGATTCATGTGATCTAGGCAAGTTACTCCTAGCCCATGTGATGTCTGGCACATGGTGAGGCTGTCTGGGCAAGTTGCTCACCCAGAATCTTCCCATGCTCTTGGCTGTGGGCAATTGCCCTTTGGCTTCACTTTTTCTGCCTCCATTTTTGGGGGCATAGTGATGCCGAGAGTTCCCTATCTTCTTTGATAGGGAGATTTTCCAGTTCCCTCACATTTTGTAATGTGAGGTACTCGTCCAGGTGGATGAGGTCATTACAATTTCCTAGGGTTCCCATGTGGTGTCCCCTAGCTCCCATTTGGCCTTAAACCAGAGTTCATCATGAACCCATGCGTGGTTTAAGATTTCACGAACTACTGCTTCGCAATCGGGGTCTTCCCTGAAGTCATAAAATATGTTTACTTCCCTATTTGGGAAGATTTCTTGGTCATTCAGCTCATGAGGCATGAGCTGAGATATGTGGGATCTTGGGTGGACTCCATGTTGTTCAAGTTGTGGCAACTTGAGGACATAGTTCAATGTCTCTGGAAATATACCCAGAATTTCATAAGGCCCTATATACAGGGGCTTTAGTTTGCCTGCCCTTCCTTTGGGTAGATTCAACTTATCCATGGATAAGTATGCAAGCTCGCCTTTTCTCAAAGATGGGTCTGGGCATCTTTTCTTATTTGCCTGGATTGTTTGGGCAGTGCGATTGTGTATTATCACATCGTGTGCTGCCATTAGGTTTTCCTTTGCCTTTTGGGCGAAGTCATTCACTCCCAGGTAGTCCGAGGGTGGTGCTGTTAGGCACATCTTTGGCATATGGCCATAGATTGATTCGAACAGGGCAAATCCTGTTGATGTGTTTGAGCTTGCATTGATTGCAAATTCTGCCATTGACAGCTTTGCTGCCCAGTCGCGTTGATCTGGTCTGACCATTGCACATAGTATCTGTACTACTTTTTGTATCATTCTCTCCACTTGGCTGTCACCTTGTGGATGGAATGCAGTTGTGAATTTCAACTGCACACTGAGTATTTGGTGTAGTTCATGCCAAAATTTTGATGCAAATTTTGAGTCTCGATTTGATATGATCAAGTGTGGTTGTCATGAACCCACCTGGGGAAGATCCAAAATGCTACCCAGGCGGGTGTGTCTGATGGAGCTCGATGTTCCGGGCTGTCTGATGGTGGGTCAGAGACAGGCCAGAAGTGGGGTGGAGCTCCGAGGGTGACAGGGTGTCGGCTTCAGCGACTCGGAATGGAGCGCTGTGCCCATTATGTCCTCATTGTCCCCAATTTGTCAGGGGGGCTGGTGACAGAGGAACAGAGGCTGCCAGTGGAAGGGGGCCAGAAGCCCCCCCTCACTACTTAACAATGGAGGTGTTAGCAAGGGTCAATCATGTGTCACACGATTTGTTGGGGTTTTATACCAAGGCACTTTTAGACGCATCTGTCACTCAGCTCTTGGTTCAGGGTGGAGCAGCAGATGAGTAGAACACGATAGACATCCTGGGAGAGGGTTTGTATTCAAGGACTTAATATTATAACTGGGGGGCCCTATTTACTAGAGTGGTACATGCATACATATAGCAGAGATAATTGGATCCGGAGGTAAATGTCATATCCCAGAATCCTGACCCCATACTCTCCCACCTCACTACACCTTCCTAACAACCTCATCATCCCCTACACCATACCTCCCCACTTCCCAACATCACCTTCTGTCCCAACTGTCTCAGCTCCAGCCTGGACTTCAGCACACCTGCCCTTGGCCATCTCCATCCCGGAAGCTCGGTCCCAAGTTGGAACATTCAGAACCTCCAGATCTGCTTGGACCTCCCAACGGATCTCTGACATCTTGTTACATACCTCTAAACCATTCCCCCTCCCATTTCATTTAGTGGAGTCACCCAACATCCTTCAGATATGTAACTCTGCCTTCGGAGCTACCCACATCCTCTGGTGATCCCGCTTTTGTCATCTTAAATTAGTCACCTTCCATTTGTAGTACGACTGTTGTCTTCTTTCCATTCAGTCCGCTAACTTCCCCTTACCCATTTCTCATTCCCATTTATCCCCTGGCCTTCTACTCCACCCTCCTTGACCCAACACCTCAGTTCCCTGTTAAAGATATTGTTCAGAACCTTTTGGTATCATTTGGCACCTTTCGGTGTCTGTTGGTATCGCTCGGACTTTGACTAAAGTCCTTCCCCCCCCCCCTATATATACCTGTAGATTAGAACCCATTGTACCTCAGTTCTAATCTCAACTAAAACTTACCCCAAGTCCCTCTATGAGTGAATCCTGACCTCCTACAAGATACCTCAGACATATGAAATGAAAGGACTAACTGAGATCTAACGGAGGCACAGCGCTCCCTCCAAGTCGCTGAGGCTGCATCCTTCTTAGAGCCTCTTGTACCACCCAGCAGACTCGGGCTTCCTGGAGAAGCTTCGGTTCACTACTGGAGCTCTCAGAACCCCTCTAGTTGAGCCCCACCTGCATTCGGACTCACGCCCCTTCGGGGTTTTCTGACAGTAAACAAAGGTTACCAAGGGGAAGAAGAAGTGAATAGAATTAGCAACCAACTGAATGGTAAGGCCTGGGCCCATCTATGAATGAGCAGGGGACTACAGGGGAAGATGTCCGGAAAGGTCCAGAGCCCGGAAGTTGTAATCCAGAAGATTGGGGTTGTAGAAAATATCAAATGATAAAACAATAAAGAATAACATGACTGGAGGTAAGGTAGGAGTGGGGAGGTACCGGAGGTAAACGACTGGAGGTGCCAGAGGTGCAGAGACCAGAAGTAAGGAGGGTGGATGGGCAAGTTGAGAGTTACCAACAACAAGTAGATCCATCTCCTTTGAACAAGAGGTCCGAGGAGGTGGAGGTGTGGTAGGGGAGGTCCGGAGGTAGGAGTGAGAGTTGAGGTATGTCCTGAGGTTCCCAACAGCTTGTCAGTACTCTAGTAACTTACCAAAACAATATAGGAGTTCCAGAGGTAATGCAGATGTAGATGGGAGGAAGAGCAGGAGAGAGTCAAAGGAGGAGGTAGTCCTAGGATCATTGGCATCGTCTGGAGGCAGCAGAGAGAGACAGGGAGGGCTGATGGAGGTTATAGGAGTCATCTAGGAATAGGGCAGAGGAAGGTGGAAGATCCAGGATATGACAGTGGTAGACTGTGAAGTCTTACAACTTCGCGAAGGAATACAAACACTAGTATTAGACACTGGTCCGGGGTCGGCACCAAGGGTCGCCATTGTGGGCCGCTATAGGCCGTGATGGCCATGATGCCGCAAACAAGGCCCAAGGGTAGGGCATTTGGCCTCAGCGACTCTAAAGGAGCGCTGTGCCACCTAGCTGTCTCTTGGCCCTCATTTCAGACTTACTGGGGTTGCCTTGTTGGGGTCAGGACTTAGAGGTCGTGGTCAAATCGATATTAGAGCTAAGGTACAATAAAGTATCATACAGGATATATATAGGGGGAAAGAATGAATGGAAGCGGACCCGGGCCGAAGGCTGAAGGGTCCGGAAGCAAACATGAATAAGGAGCAGGGTTGGCTGCATAGTGGCCGGCAATGACCGAGGGTCAAAACAAACAATAACAGATAAATAAAGGAAGGAGCGTAGGGCTGCGATAGCGGCAATGGTATCATAGCGGTGCTGGACTCGGAGTTGGGCTGGAGTCGGGTGCGGGAATGGTAGCGGCCCTGTAGGGGCCAAGTGGGCAGGGTAGAGGAGTCACGCTGGGCACAGTGCCAGAGGCGGAGTCAGGGTGGGAAGGTTGGTGTGGCTGTGGGGGAGTCAGCCAGGTGCAGGGGAGCCTAGGGGCAAGCAGGGGAGTGAGCAGGGAGTCCTCAGGGATGATAGGGCTGAGGTCAGGGCTCGTGTAGTGGGAATGGGCTCGGGTGACATCGGGACAGGCGGCTAACGGGCCAGAATGCATGGCCATGACAGTGAGTTCCAATGCATTCGTTGTTGTTTTTATTGGGATCAGGTGGACATTGGACATCAACCTGCAGATGATTACCCAGAGGTAATCATATCCCAAGCTTGTTGGGAATGGACCTGTGAAGTCCATGGCTATTGACAACCACAGTGTTTCCAGGGTTGGGAGTGGGTGAAGCAGTCCAGGATTTCTCCTGGTGTTGTCTGACAAGTTCTGCAAGACCTGCAGAACTTGTGAGTGTCCTTCCTCATCGATTTCCACTGTTTTCTTGGACCCTAGGTGTCCAAGTGTTTCGTGAATGTTTTCAAGGATCATTCCTCAAATGGACTTCCTTTTGTAGTTCCCTTTTGGGACTACTATTTGGGTTGTCCCTCCTTCTCCAAGTTGGGTTATCAGCCCATCTTTTGTGGAGAAGTTTTTGAAATTCCTGGGATTCTCTAGGATTTCCTCGTGGATCTGGCTTCACATGTATCCAGGTTTTATTGCCTTGATGAGGTCTTTTCCTTTGAATTGTTTTTGAAGGTTCTCTTCTGAAAATTTCTTCCAGATTTTGGGCACTCCCCCCTAGAGTTTCCTCTAGGTTGTTGCTCCCCCCTAGAGCTTCCTCTAGGGTATTTCTCATGTGTATTGCTGTGAGTCTCTTTTTCTCTGAGTTTTCACTCAGAGTATTGCTTAGCAGCAGTTCTTCATATTCCTTGACTCTGTCGAGGATGATGTCTTCTGCATTTTTATCCAGATGGATATCTGCCAACACATAGTCATCGAAATGCAGATCCTCATCAGTTGACGAGTCATAGTACCATGAAAGTGCATCTGCCACTTTGTTCTTGTAGCCTTCCACATATTTTATTTCACAATTAAAGCTTGCAAAGAAGGCTTGCCATCTCAGGTGTCTACCTGAGTTGTGGTTTTTCACTTTGAAGTATTCCAAAGCTTTGTGATCCATGATTACTGTGAATTCACAGCCTCCCATGAGATCATCTTGCCATCTCATGAGTGCCTCGAGGACACCAAGTGCCTCGAGTTTGTGGGCAAAGTACCTACATTGTGTGTTGGTAAACTTCTTGGCCATGAATGCGGCAGGGTGGCAGGTCTGCCACTTTTTGCTCTGTCCAATTAGTGCACCCATGCCTGCTGGGCATGCATCTGTTATGACCCAGATGTGGAATTTACTCCTCATCAGCAAGCTTGGTAGGGAGCTCTCAGAGCTCTGTGAGCAAATTGAGTCTTTTTGCTGTGCACCCTCTACACATTGGGTGGAGAAAATTAAATGTTTGAATGATTTTATTCTCCTAAGGATGCAGAAGTGCAAAGATGATATGTATATACATTTTTGGAAATGCATATTAAATGGCCAGCATCATTACTTGAAACACTCTATGAGCTCATAGAGCTCATAGAGCTTTTTGTTTTTAAATCATGGATGGTCTTCATATCTCCATGAAATCTGCTTAGTTATTTTGGCACCAGGAGAGCAAAGATAATATGGATACATATGTGTGTAAAATGGCCATTGTCATTGCTCTGAAAGCTCTATGAGCTCTATGAGCTCAGTGGGCTCATAGAGCTCATATACCTTTTGTGTTTACTAAAATCAGCACCTTATTTTTTTATTGCTATTTACAAAATTTGAGGAAAACTCTGAAATTCAAAAATTTGCACTTTATCTTCCATCTCATTTCTTGCTCAAAACTCAACCAATTTTGATGATTCTATGTGAATTGGAAAGCACCAAAGTGTGGCAATGTAACCATGCATGTTATGTACGGTATGAATCAGTTTTAACAAAGGGTTCCAAATGAAGTAAATTGAAAATACCACCCAATAAAGCAAACAAAAAGCTGATGTATTCTTCAGATATCATCCAAGCCTTTGACACCAAATTTCCCATGGTCAAAAAGCCATGGTTATTTGGCTCACTGTCAGGGCCCAGGGGATCCTCCTAGTTGCTGGGGTATCTAGTCCCAGTCCAAGATCCTCAAACTCACTGAGGGGGCTAGCCCCAGCCTAGGAAATGAGTTGAGAAGAAGGGTAACCTTCTCAACCTCCTGTGAAGCTGCTACAAATGGGAGCCAGGAACTATACAGTTTTCGGCTCTTTGCCAACTTTCCATAAATGGCACCCCCCCGTGGGAAGATTCTGGGCAAGCTGCTCACCCAGAAAGTTCCCACGGTTGTGGCTGTGATGGTTTCTGGGTGAGTAACTTGCCCAGAACTTTCCCATGGGTCTGCATGCATGCAGGATTGTGGAATAGTGAGGGGCTGTGCCCTGACACTCACCAAAACATGGTGGGAGACTTTTCTAACACTGAAACATACATTGCTACATTGCCCCACTTTGGCACTTTCCAATGTACATTGAATTATCAAAAAAGTGAATTAATTTTTTTCCAATTATTCCTAATTTCCTGAAATATCTCTCCCAACTTATCCCAAATTTTCTGATTTTCCCCCTGATTTTTTGGACATTCTCCTTTTTTAGAAAGTCCCCCATTTTCTGAATTTTCCTTAATTTTCCCTGACTTTTTTTCAAGTTTTTAGAAACCCCCTAGTTCCCCCTCAATTTTCCCCTTCATCCCCCCCTCAATTTCCCCCCCCCCCCCCAATTCCTCAATTTTCTCCTCATTCCCCCCTCATCCAAATTTCACCCCCTATGAGCTCTCAGAGCTTTCACTACTTTTCGGAGCTCTCAGAGAAGGGGACCTGCAATTTCAAAGTACTGAAGCTCTGAGAGCTCTGAGAGCTCTATGAGCTCTTGTCAGAAACTATGTTCGAGGGGATCGCGGGAAGCGGGGCGGAGTACGGCGGCATAAGTGGTCACTTAGCTAATGAGCTACTCCGTTGCAAGGCGTCGAGGGGGTTGGGACTTCGGCTTCAACGACTTTGCCAGAGCGTTGCGCCACGCGTTCTAGGCTGTCCCGTATTTCACGTTAGCGGGGAAGACCTTGCGGCGACGTTGACTTAAGCGGGATGAAGCTGAGAGGCGAACTTAAGATGAAAGTACTTGGGGGGAATTCTAGTCGATATTCGAACTGAGGTACATCGACAGTAAACTACAAGTATAAATAGGAAAGGAGAACAGAGAAGGGACCGGTCGGTCCGGCGCGGGACGGGAACGAGATGATAAGTACGACAGAACTAAAGAGCGATGAGGACCAGGGTAATGGAACAGAAGAGATGAATGGAACAGAGAACGGCGAAGTTGGGAGGCAGAAAGGATAAGCCGACAATCTAGGCGCGCGGATCAGAATGTCAATATACGTATAAATCAAATATCAATAAAGGAATAGTCAATTGTCAATAAGGAATGTCCATAAGGAGCGGATCAACGGCGACCATAACAACCGCTAGTTAGTTAAGCGAGTGAATAGAATAAAACGATACCGGCCGAATGGTTGAGGAACCCAAGTGGTGGCGGGAAAACGAAGGAGGCGCTGCTACGGGGCCGTAGAACGGGAACCACTATCGGCGCCGCTAAGTGATGGGCAATGGCGAGATTAACGGGCGCGAGTAACGGCGTAAGAATGGGGGTACAGAAAGTGGTAGAGGGGCGGGGACTTTGCGGGGCCGTGACAGCTCTCAGGCCTCTGCATCCAGGTTTGCTGATGCTCTCTTCTTCTGAGAGGTTTTCCAGTGGATTCCACTGGACAGGCTTCAGAATCAGAGCCCTGCATGTGAGACGTTGTAGGAGTGCATAATGGGTGTGCTCAATTTCATGGAACCATATGAAGCAAATATGTCAAAATTGGGCTCCTGCCCTTGTACATTATTAGGAAAAAGGGATTATAGGGGGGAGTAATGAGAAAGAAGAAAGAGGGTTTTCGTACAAACCGACAGAGCCTTTCTGGATTAAGATTAGATCCCTTCCTTTCTAATGGGCCATCAAGCTCGTCCCAGTCATTACTGCTTGTTCTTCATGCTTGCCTTTTTAAATGTTGTCCTCGTTTTCTGAGAGTTTCGGTCATATTTCCATCGTTTATGGGTAGTTTTCCCTGAAATTGCTTTTTTTGGGTCCGTTTGGGAGACATCTACATTCCCTATTATAAACACGACTTTGAATTTTGCATTGGTTCCTAAGGAATCCTTGTTCCATGGTACTTCCAGCCTCGGCTACATGTGCAGGTGTGGGAAAGTAGTTTCCATGGAGGTTCTCTGGTTGGTTTTATAGTCAAATCTTGGT